TAGTACCTAGGGGCAACAGCCAAGATTTTGAAGCTTCTAGTGTGGACAGTGGATATCCAGGCCAAGCCTCTTCCATTCACCGTACACTGTTTACAGTCTCAAGTGTTTTGTCTAACTCAGGAGTTATTCAGTGATACTTTTTGGGCATTTTCAGTCCAGATGATATTTTGGCTAATCTGTATTAACAGCTGTCTGCATATACTGATGCATTGTTGTTCATGCATGTGTTCCACCTCTCTTGCTCCACATGGACTGTTTACTTGCAGGCAGCCAAAGCCTGTTCAAAGTGATTGTTCAATCTAGAAACCAGAAGGCTTCCCGCCTCGAAATCTCATCCCTTGCCAACAGACTCTGGATATTCACATGAAGAATCTGTTTAGAGAGATAACTTAAATATGAATTGTTCTTTGGGGTCACGTGCACCGATGGAGGCGTCGTTCCCTCATGTGAATGCCCCCTCTGTCTATCTCACAATTTTGTCTCCCTATTAATTTCATCCGTGTCACCCTGCATTATGTAGAAGTGCACCTTTTCAAGTGGACGCTGTTATAAAAGTAAACTATGAAACCCAGCCTCTGAGGCCTCTTCAAAAGGTCAACAGGTCAAGGTGATCTCTGGTGAATCTCTCACTTTACTGCCAAAGTTGGGACCTGGGTGATGACTCGCTGTTGCTTTCCACTGACCCATATATTAAATCCTTAATGACGATCACTTGAGACAAAAACACATTTGCATCGCCTGACAAGGAAACTGACATGTTGCACAATCGAAGCTCAGCGGGGCATGATTCACTGTGTCTGTAGTCTTTGTTCTGAACTGACAGAAAAACCGAGCCACCGCTGAGGAACTTGACTTCATCCACTTCATTGACACGAGCGATGGCTTTTTCTCCCCACAGGAAGTAAGAGCCATCAAAATGTGAGAAAAGTGCTCCTCTAACAGATGTGAGGAAATTGAGTGTGACAAAACCAAACAGCTGCATAAAACGTGTGATGCAAGATTTAAAGCTGCTGCGTAGAAATGATTCAAAAGAAATCATTAAACTAAACAATTACAATTGCAAAAAAGTGGCACATAAATTAATATGGCAGTTATATTGCAGCAAATAAACACAGACAATAATAATAATTCCAGTGCCACATAATTCTGGCAAGAGCTGTCAGTGCTTTGGTTTCCACTGCACTATGAGTTTGGGACTGCTTTTCCATTATTGCAGCATGAGGCCTACGGTCAGACCGCAGGGCACGTCTCTCGCTGAGAGCCACACAAGGCAGGAAATGTTTTCCTTGGCAGATGCATGTCAAATTACCACAGGAGCGCACAATATCCCTGACACCGTCCCTAATAAGCGAGCTAATAGGTCTGTTGAGTAACCAGCGAGGGCCAGCGCTATGCACAGCATTGTGGGAGAGAAATGCGTTGAATGCACATGAAAAATGGGATAAAGACATTCCACGCAATTTAGGAATCTACAATGGCGAAGGTGATCCGAACACATTCCCTTTTTTTTCTCTGCTCGGAGACTCAATAGCATGTTCTTTGGCCATGAATGACATTCATTCCTCAAAGAGGGAATTCAACCTAAAATTCAGAGTATGTTGTTCTCAGCCGACAGATGCTTACTTTGCTAGTTTGTTTTGTCTGTGTCCATATTTAGCCTGTGCAGGGAGACTAAATAACATTTCTTAAACCTTCAAATCACGGCTTCACTGTTTCACATATGCCTTTAAAGATATTCTCAGCTGATATTTGATTTGGCCACCTGATTTAACACCCATCCACCAGCTATCAGCACTTAAACAACATTAACAACACTAAAGACCTTCAAAGTGGATTTACAGCGATTGTAGTTGCTTGAATGACTTGAGTTGTTGGCCACTTGTGACCCCAGGGATGGTGATAAAAGGGTGGACGGGGGGAACGTGGTGCTGCAGGGGCTGCTGTAAGAGAAGAGCTGGTCGTGCCGTTTAGGGGCAATGGGGGCAAAGTGGGCCATGCATGGGTTCAGTCTTGCCTTATTTCCCAAGTCGTAAATCTGGATTTGCAGCAGGGGCTGTCAGGTTGAACTCAGAGAGCAGCTGGAGGTGAACTGAAAGTCAGACAGACTGACGGACAGAGAGGAGGTTGTTCATGACGGCCAAACAGACAAAGAGATGTGAGTAGTTAAATCACAGAAATAGCAGAGAGCAGGGGAGGTAAGCACAAACACACAGCCTCTACCTTTCTTATGAAACACACACACACACACACACACACACACACACACAGGGACAGGTGTGAGAGACAGCCCAAAGGCCGTGCAAGACGCTACTGCCCACCTCAGTGTTTATTTGTCCAGCCCCCTCCCCCCCCCCCAAGCGTTCAAAGGGTAAATGTCTATTCTGGTTTAGGGTTACAGCCGAGCTGCCTTGAACCCTCGGGCTCCCAAGCGCACATGCCATTCCTGGCGAGCCAACTCGCTCCCTGGCGTGCATCACCTGCCCCTGACCCACACAGGGAGGAAAGGGGCACCTCTGTGCCTGCCTTGCCAAAAAACACCCCCCCACCACCACCACCACCACCACCTTTGTCTGTCCACCCCCAACCCTGTGATACAGGATGAGCCACCTGCCCCTCTCTCCTCTGTCCCCCTCCAACTATTATTACAGGCTTTATAAGGGTTTAAGTGTTGATCAGAGGGTGGCCGTGACCTCGATAGTTGGCTAAGCTAGGCTAGGCAGGCCTAACGGTTAAAGGAGCTGTCTGGCACAGTGACAAAACAAGGCGATGACAGAAGCCGTCTGATAGTGCCACTACCTCGGTCCGCCACGTTTTTTTCCCTCCGACCAGATCCACTATCAAACAGTAATGCGGGAGGACACTCTGTGGCCAAGCCATCTGTTACCGAACATCTTTCAGCGAGATGTCGCAGTGGAATGTCCCTTCACCTTCCCCACACCTGTTTAGCAATGACATTATCCAAAGTTTCACTGAGGAAAGACCTGCAGTATCGTCATCTTACTCCTTCACCTCAAATCATTATCAAATAGAGGGTAATTAAAAGCTCATCTCAGGAGGGCACACTGTGGTATCAATGAGTCTGTAGTTGGATAACAGAAGCTGGAGAAGAGAGTGCATCCTCTAAGGTCCAACAGTCTCCTTATGACACCACATTTAAATTCACCAGATTCAGATTTTTATTTGGATATGCAGCAAATTTCCATCAACCTTCAATATCAGTCATCTAAACATGTCATCAAGATCCATTAATTATTCTCTGGGAAAAAAGGGAAACTTTGAAAAACACCTTATTTCACAATGTTAAAAAAGGTGATACCCCCCCTTCCAAAAGTTAATAGGATCCTGACAAATTTCACATCCCAACCACGAACACTAAATTTCATCATAATCCTTCCCCCAGTTGTTGTGTAATCCTTCTTACTACTAAACAAAGTGAAAACATAACATCTTGTCGGAGGTAACAATGTAACATCTGATCAGGCTGCAGACTTATCCATGCATCCATTAACTATACCACTTATCCTCTGAGGGTCGCACAGGGAGCTGGATCTGATCCCATGTGACATTGGGCAGTTACTTAGCAACTTCGAAAATGTCCCTTTATCACTTTAGGCAACAACACAAAAAAGTTAGTGGCTATGTCATTTAATTACAAACCCTGTCCTCCTCCTCTGTCCTAGGACATGAGAGTTGATCCTCTACACACAGATTTTGGAATAAACATGAAAGTGTTCTATACTAACATGGCCAGAGATTCAACAGAGCAAAGTTCAGGAATGATGTTTGAATTAATGTTTTATCAGTTCTTTGTTGTTGTGGGTCTTGTTAGGTTGGAAATAGTTTTCATTGATTATGTGACATTTTTTCTCTGAAAGTCACAGTCAACTGTTTTCATTCTCCATACCATCACTTCCGATCTACAATGAACAAACCCTGCATTAGAAGCATGTGTGTGTGTGTGTGTGTGTGTGTGTGTGTGTGTGCAGAGGAATGAGGGATTTGAGTGTGTGCTCCTGTTTCTGACACATCGTACAGTCAGACTGAACATTACTGGACCAAGTGGAGCTGACAGCTGTGCAGGAAACAGGAGTGATGTGAAACATGAACACAAGGAGTGGTGGTGAATGGGGTGTGTGTGTGTGAAACAAAATTGTTTGACAATATGAAATACAGTTTTTAATGGGTGTGCGGACGTGGATATTTATCTGTTTATTACCACAGTACTGCAGATGTGGCTTTTGGTTTTTATAAGAGATATAATTCACTGCAGATGGATCCTCCGTCATCTTCTCAATGGAATATATAAGGAATATATATAAATAACTATATGTAGGGGTGTGTAGAAGTTGTGTCTCAATTCAGGGGCTGCATCCTTTGGAGGACACAGTCTAAGCTGCCCATGAAGTATGGAGTCTTATTGGGCCACCTAGACCATGCAGGCTGAACTAAAATGAGACGGCCTGCTCTACAGAGGATTTCCACGATCACCGTCACCACTTTGACCTGCCCTTATTGCTGTCACCTAGCAACAGAGCTACAGTTTGGCCAGATGAGTTTTACTGCTTTTTTTTTAACATGTGCTGTTGCCTGATACTTTGGCATCGGATTTCTTGTTACTTGCTGGCACCATTACCTCTTTGAAAAATCAGTTTGTCACTGAAGTGCGATTAACTGAATAAGCTGATAAGCAGAATTTGTCAGCCTAATTTAGAGGAGCCTTTGAAATGGGACAGTCTAGTCACACTACAGTGACGCAATTGTTCTTGAAAGTGAAGTGTTTCAACCATTTGTGATTGTGTGGAAGTAAGTAGGTCCTCTCCATAACAAACACACGCACACACCAAAGAGAAATACTTAAGACCATGACCTCCTAACTAACTTTGCATTTTAAGAGAACTATCCCCAGCCCTGGCCTGCCATGTGAGCTGGTCCCCAGGCTGGTTTGTTTATCAGCTCATTCGAGGAGAAAGTTAGTGAGATGACGATAGAGGTGGGCGTACCGTACATCTTGCCCTCATCAGAGAGGATGATCTTCCTGCGGCCACAGGGAGGGTAGATGGCCAGTGCCTCCTGGAAGCTCTGCTCGATGTCGGGGCTCCACACGCCCTCCGCATCATTTTCCAAGGGTTTGTCGAGTCCGTCCCCCAGCTCCTCACTCCCGCCCCTGGGGGAGGGAGCCGTCGCCCACTCCGCAGACGTGGTGGGAGATCAGGAAGGGGACAACAGAGCAGCGGAGGGTGGAGGGTCAGGGGTTGGGGGAGATGAGGGTGGATGTGGAGGGAGGAGGCTGCAGGGAGTGGATCAGCCTGTTTGGAATCCACAGGTGGGAAGGTGCTGATGAGGCTGGATGTGGGAGGACGGACCTGGGAATCAGAAAAAAACATAAAATTGATGTGGTGCTGTGTGAGGAGGAAGTCACACAGATCGATTATCGAGGGAAAGTTATTACTCTCCCCAAAAAAATAAAGGTTTGTTTAAAGAAAACAATGCTCCAAACATATTACTCATTACTTTATTGCTTTATTCACTGAACTAAATTTTCAATAACTTTGAGTAGAAGTTACATAAGTGGATATGTTCCATACTTAAATAATAACATTACTTTTTAAGTAATGAGTAATAACACTTGCAGCGTTCAAAAGTAATTAAAATGTCTGCAACTTACACTTATTTGAAAATTATATTAATTATCAGTGAATGTGTTCCAATGTTTTAATCAATCAGTGAATTATTAAAGCCATAAAAAGTTTAAAAAAAACACGTGTAAACCTGAATTAGAAATTATGTACATTAATGAAAAGCAGCAAATTATCACATTAAAGTTAAACTTTTAACTGTTAATGTCTACTACTGCAGATAAATATTATGTCCTTTCACTAAACAATTAATAAACTATTAAATCCAGATCTGATCACGATTAAGAAAATCCCAGGCTGTTATTATTCATTCACAAAATCTCAACTTTTCAGGAATGCAGAAACGTGTATTCAGAATGTGCACTTCTCATGTTTGGGTCTCATGAGCTCCTCTGTCCAAACTCTACAGACCATGAAATTCTTCATATAACAGGAGAAGACAACAGCCACTGAAATCAGACTGAACTGCTCCTGAGAGCAGCTGACATCATCACCAACTGGTTATGAACCTATAGCTGCTACAGTAAGACTCACATCAATCTGACTGTTGAGTGTGTGATCACATCACAGCTGATGATCACATCCACAATGTGGTTAGTGCCGCGACAAAGTGAAGAAACAAAGTGGCACCGAGACACCAGCAGCAGAAGACAGGGGGTGGGGGTGGGGTGGGGGGGTAAAGTCAGCAAATGAGGAAACACATTAAAGTGGGATCACCGTCCTCAGACAAACTTAGACACGCATGCCAAGGAGGATCATACCAGGATATTAAGGCCAGGAGGCTTTTTAGGTTGCCCACCTCTCCATCAGCACTGCAGCTGACTGCATCATTTAACTCAAAGCCTAATCAATATGTTTTTGGGTGGGTGGGGGGGGGGGACTATGACATGAACCAGCTGACACATTCAAATGAATAATTAAACATACAATTGGCTCTTAGTGGCAGAAAAAAAACAGCGATGACATCAACGTGTGAGTGACATCACATGTGTGACTTGCAAAATGTCTGCCGACTTAGTCATATCCTGTTTTCTGTACACGCCACTTCGTTTAGGATGTGCACACGGTGCTTATATGTTCGAGTGGAGAGTGTGAGACAGCCATGAGCTCCACCTCTTCCTCTCTGCGGATGTGCAGGAGAAATGTGGAATGGGGCACAAACGGTAGGAACCAGTAAGAACCTGTGAGTCAGTGCAAACTTAGGTTTTTGTTTGTCATCAAGACTTTTCCTGTCGCTGTTAAACTGAGAGACCTCCATGTCCATTTATGGCAACGAGAAGAAAAGCAGCGACATTACGTCAGTGATAATCCCCCCCATGGAAGTGTGTGTTGCGTGTGGAGGCTGTACAGTGGTCTGCAAAGTCCTGCAAGGCTACAGTTAAGAAGGGCTTGTGGTGATTAGATGAGTGACTCATTGTGTTGTGCAGAGTAACCCTCTCCTCGCTCTTCCTCTGAGCCCCCTGATGTTCCATAATGCTTCCTGCAAAGCGTCTGGCCAGCCGACCATTCCCCCATCTCTCTCTACACACACACACACACAC